ATTCGCCCAACAACAACGTCAACATCAGCAACAATTGCAATAATCATTTTTATGCTGTATTTATCACTTACGTCGCCTTAATTAATTTAATACACAGATTCGATATATTTATTTTTTTTTCTTTCAGCTATTTCCACACAGCTCTCTCATTACTTGCACATTCGCTCTTTCCCGTTTTCTCTCTCATTATTTTCAAATAGTTTCATGTTTCAAAAGTAGTATTTAGTATAATAATGAGACCGGCTTAAAGAAAAGCAACTTTTCCTTGACTCAATCCATTCCTTCAGGTTGCCTCTGTTGAGATGTGTAAAAGTCTTAGAGTTTAAGCTTTTAGCCAAGCAATTTTTATATATGAATGTGAATATGAAAAGGCTAAGCAAACGAGTACAGCAACATGAGCTAAGCACTTGAGTCACTTGAGCTCGTGAGCTCCTCGAAATGAGGCGTAATTAGCTTTAGGAATTCATGTTTTAAGAATCTTCGTATAAGAGAACAGCCTAACAAAGTAGTTAGATCTCTGTCTCTCACTCATCTCAGCACAGCTTAAATCTCTCTCCACACTCAGCTGATCTGTCGAACTGCTTGGGGTATTCCCTACCATTGCAATGCATTATCTACATGCTTAGAGCAAGAGCACAGAGACCATGAGTGCTGCAGAGATCGCTGTAGCTCATCCAATATCTGGTATATACCTTTAGCATATAAAAGTGAATTCAACACATCAAATTCTCTTTAACTTATATCAAGACTTTAATCCATCAATCGACATTGATGTCACGTCTTTGACTCCTGGACTAGACCTATTTTTTGCCTACTAGCCAAAAAGCAATACTTTGACAGCATTCAATGAAATCGTTTAGCAATGAGCTCGAACGTCTTTCATTAACACATTCATCATTAAAACAATCATCAAATTTGCATTGCAATATCAGCTGAGTGCTAGCTAGAGGGTATCTTCAATTCTTGCACTCTCAGCTGGTTGCTTGCATTTTACTTTGCTTAGTTCGTCGCAATGAACTCGAACTTATTCCACATTAATTGTAGGGCGGGCGTCGCTTATACAAATTTCCATTTCATTAAGCACTCATCTCCATTTACAGGGTATTTTCAAGTCATACATTGCCTGCTGTTTGCTTGTCCTTTCTTTTTCTGAGTTTGCAGTTTCGTGACTTTCTGAAGTTTTCGCGCTTTGCTTTCGTTTTCATTTCAGTTTTTCGTTGGCTGACTGACTGACTGAATGAATGATTGATGAGCAGACACTCACTCGATGAAAGTGTTGCGCGATTTGTGTTCGTCTGCCTCTTCAGTTGCTTTCATCAGTGCCAAGCATGAAATTGGTTTTCTTTCTGTTTCTGTTTCTGTTTCTGTTTTCGTTGCCACTTTCAGCGCCAAAAGCAACGGCTGCTCATTCGCTTCGGGCCGAGAGCAAAATGGAAAGAAAATTGTAACTGAAACAATTTATAATTATTCTCTTTTGTCTTGCTTTCGTTTCGATTCAATTCAGCGTGAATATTGAATAATTGTTGTGCAATCATAATAACAATAATAATAACAATAATAATAATAATACAATAATCATGTAATGCACACAGCTAATCGAACTTTCAGTTTATTAGAATGAATGTTAAGCTTCAGCTTGATATATGTATATTAGAATGAACTGTAGCCACCCACGTATTTCCACACATAGGCTAACTGATTTTCCTATTGGCTGGCATGAATGTTCCATGAGCCAATCAATTGTTGGCCAGCTCTTGCTCACGTTTCCATAGGTGTTATTTTTATTTACTGATTCGTTTGATAATGACTCTACCTGCTGCCTTTTCATTTTGCCGTTGCTTTTCCTTTGGCCCGCGGCAAATGCAGGCAATTGCGCAAATCAGAGAACTAGTCGATAAGGCAGCTACGTAGAAGACAATAAAATGCCAGAAAAATACATACCTTCAAATGTCAGACGGGCTTAGAGATACCCTTTACTATGGTCTGTCTATGTATTTGATTTGTTTACTCAAGATTTGCATAGTAATATATGTAATTGTCAAATATTCTATTTGTTTATTCATATTATTTCTATACATATTTCATCTAGATATAGGTAAATCTATATCCATAAATCGTCTTAAAATAATACAATAAAAATAAAAAAAAATTAAATAAAAAAAAAAATAATAAAATAATAAAAAAAATTAAAAAAAAATAATAATAATAACAATTATAATATATATCACAATAATTTAATAATAATATTAACGTCAGCTAATTGTCTTTAGACGACCTTCTACATTTCGTAGAAATACAGGGTATTCAGTTTGAAAAAATAAACCGTGCTGTGCACGCCTTAAATCGGGCATGGCCGTCAATGAAACGCTCCAACGAGCTGATCAAATAAATAATAAAGTAATTTATACTTAATACACGATATATCGATGCAACAAGCCGCAATGTGTTTGACCCAATTTCTGGTCAGCGCTATCGAAAATCATCAAACCGCCGGCCGGGCAGCCCCCACAGTCGTCACACAAGTGTGGCACAAGAGTTCGCAACTCTGGCCGGGGACCCGAATCTGAATCCCAAACCCGAAACATGCCCAGACAACGGCCAATTACACTTAACAAACTCATTATGTTCCGTTTTCCAGGCAGCAAAAATATAAAAATAAAAGAAGCCAACAGCGGATGTCAGTATGCAAGGCAACTGCCAAACACAAGTAGTCGACTAGGGCATACCCTAGAAATGTACAGCAACATTTCTTTTCATTCAAAACATGAATAAGTTGAGTTAAATTTGATTTGCTGAGGTTCCCAGGAAACTTTTCAGACTCCGGCAGCAATAATTGGCAATAGTCGGGTATAGCTGCTCTATAGCTTATTTCAATGTGTCCAGGGTATAGAACAACAGCAAAAATATAGAAAAAGGCCAGCGAAATACCGTTAGCATTGCATGCAGTGAAAATTTGACTTCATGTTGAAATAAATTCACAGTCAAGCAGCCAACAGCAGCAATTGCCCATATGAAAGGCGGCTCGTGCTGGATTGCTGGCAATTGGTGGGCGCCAGGGGGCGCCTGGGGGGTGTGGCAAGACATGCATGTGCTGTGGGAGGGTCGGAGGCTAGAGCTGGCTTAGCTGGCTGCTCGACTGCCCGACGGCTCTGACAGGCAACATGGCTAGAACAAAATTTATGCCAGCTGCCAGCTGCTTACATTATTATCGACTTTTATCGAGGCGACATTTGACTGGTCAACGGCAGCTAACAATAACAACGGCAGACAATAACAGCTACAGCAGCAGCAGCAGCAGCAACAACAACAACAGCTACAAATTTGAATGCAACCACTGAAGCTAAATGTAATTGAGCCGAGTGCCAACGAGTGGTGGCACGAGTGGTGCAGCACTTAGATCGAACAGCTGATAGCATCCAAATATGTTGCTCTCTTAAGAATGTTGCATGCAACATTTTCCTACATGTTGCAAGCCAGCTGACAACGATGACAGTTGACTGATGTATGCACCGTACCATTTGTGGAACTAATCGATATGTGACCATGTTATCGATATGTGTATCTCTCTACATAGCGAACAGAGCGACAGCGCCACACAGCAAGCGGACATAAAGCTAACAAATATGAACTTTCAACTGCGATCGTCGCCAAAATGCATCCCTGATGAGCGACAAATATTCGAATAATAATGCAAAAGGGCAACGACTTCTTTGATTTTGCTTTAATCAGAAGCAAGTTTAGAAGTGTGGAGAGTTAACCTCTTAGTAAATTTATATCTATATTTGCGTCTTGCATGCATATGGATATGTATTTGAGTGAGACCTGAGAGAGGGATAGGAGAGATATATGTATATCAACTACATACATATGTATGTATGTATGCATGTATTTCGGTTGAGAGGATTTGAAGCGCGTTAATACTGAGCTCTCATGTGCATATGTATATGTATAAGTATATATATATATATATGTATATGTGTATGCATATGCACATATATGTACATACATATGTATGTGTAGATCAAACCTCTAGCAAATATTAAATTGAGTGGGAGCTCCTACACAAGTTTGTTCTAGAATTTTAAGTCCAGAGTACTAAAATGTAATTCATTTATTCATACATATCTCTGGTCTTATACATATGTATGTATGTACATGCATATGTAGCCAATATTTATTTCTTTACTTAAAGTAGATTTGAATACTTGAAATTAATACTGACTGGATCTAAAGCACTAGGCCTTTGGCTTGGTAGTTGAATATTATATGTATTTCTACATACGTATGTATGTATGTAGATGTTTCCTATTATAAATTACACTTCTATATCATCATATAGGTAACATAGTGTCTGCTCGCTATAAACCCTATGCTTGGTTAATTTACATAAATTTTTTTATCTTAAGGGATTTCATGTTTACATGTGAATTCTTATCGCTATAGAGCCCATGCACAGATTTTTGCTTACAATTAAATCAGTTTTCATACTGCAACTTGCATAATTTAGTGCAGAAATAAGATGAACAAGTCCAAAGTCTTTGGCTGAAACAAATTTCTAGTTGAAGTTGACGTCTTGAATCCACTTGATAATTTCCTGGATTGTAAGCGTCACAAATGGCTGAGGCTCTTCCAATAAATGTTGCAGCTTTCGCTAGTTTCTCGGCAACAGCAAATGCTAGCCCATCATCATCATCATCATCATCATCATCAGCATCAGCATCATCTACCTACACATTTCGCCACTTAACAATGACGGGGCAAACAAAGAAGTGCTGCCTGCTCGGGCGACGAGCCACTCGATGCTGAAGTCGATCTTCGAGTGGAAGCCCGCTGGCTCGAGTGGCCCATCGAAGAGCCGTTGAGAAGACGTTGCTCGCCTGCCTGCCGGAAGATGCATTGCAATTTTTTTTTTTTTTTTTTCGTTAATTTTTTGTAGTTTGTTATTTCTTGTTATATGTCGACTGTGTAACTCACTCAACTGTCTGTCTCTCTGTCCGTCTCTTTGCAGCCGAGTTTCCCGAGGAGGACAGTGACATGCTGATGGAGCCGAATGACTTTACGCCCATAACGGTGCTGCGCTCGCACGAGCAGCAGCATTTCCACATGCCGCCCACCACGCAGCTGCAGCAGCCGCATCATCGTCCGATTGCTGTCACGCCCGCACAGAGCCGCCACTTTCAGGCGGTGCCCGTCGAGCAGCAGGAGCAGTTCCGTCCGATAGCCAATCCGAACACACAGCTGATCTCCAGAGCCGATGTGACGCCCGGCCCGGGCGCCGACTCGCACAGCCAGGCGGCGCAGAACTTCTATCCGCCCTTCTACCATGAGGCGCCGCCACTGGGCCACTCGCGTCCCTATTTCGCCGGACCCGCTGGGCCCGTGGCCGACAGTACGCCGCTGCAGCTGCCGCTGTTGACGCCGGCGCAGCAGCAGCAACAGCAGCACCAGCATCAGCAGCAGCAGCGCGGCTTTGACGCCGCCATACTGGGCAGCGGGGACTTTGGGGTGCTGCGCGGCGGCACCTTCTATCCGGAGGAAGAGATGCCCTACCATCCGGAGGACAACAGTGACTACATCTATGGCGATGCCAACAATGGCCATGGCCGGCCCAGCGAGTCCTTCATCCAGAAGTACACCTATCCCGAGGAGCAGTTCGCCAACTTCCGCGACTTTGCGGACATCAATACGCCCGCCGACTCGGCCTTCTCCCAGTTCGTGGTCGTCTATGCGGCCAAGAATGCGACCAAGCCCAGCAACCATCCGCATCCGAAGAACATATTCGAGCAGCTGGAGTTGCTCGATCGCGAGAAGGCGCTAGAGGAGGCGGCCCTCAAGAAGCAACAGCCCAGCAAATCCAAATCGAAGCTGTCCAAGACGAAACTGCAGAAGAAGTACAAGAAGAAGCCAATTAGCAAGGAGCTCGAGCTGGAGCCGCTGCTGGCGCTCAGTTAAGCACTCCGTGGCGCTGTCTCCATCCATTCCCGTCAGCTGGGATCGAATTTCAACTGCGAAATTTGCACACAATTTTGCCCGCTGTTCGCTGTGTGCTTCATCAATTTTCTTTTATTTATTTTTTTTGAGCAAATCGCAAATTTCAATTTTAAATACTTTACGAACTATGCCCTATCCCCATAGTCCCTGCTTCGCACTCTTGCCTTTCATTCATTTGTACACGTGCCCAGGCCCCCATCGTCCCCTGTTCCCCCGCCTCATCATATGGATTGCAATAGTTCCGTTAGTTGTGTGTACTTATTATTATTATTATTATTATTTTAATTATTATAATTATGATAAATGTAATTTTTTTTTACCTGTTTACTTGTTGCCTCACAGTTCGTGTTGCATAATTGTTAATTCTACGTAATTATAGCCAGTAGTCTACACGTATTTGTATTTGTATTTGTATGTGTTTAATCGTATTTTATGATGCGTATCGATACTTAATTATTTTTTGTTTAATTAAACATAATTTTACATGTATTTGTATTGTGTGTGTACATAAAAAAGAAAACAACAACCAGCTCTTAATTGTAATATTAATAATAAAAATAATAAAAATTAAAAAAAAAAAATACAAAGTTTATTTTTTCTATTTGTGTGAAAATGTTTTCCTTTAATTTTTGGAAGCGGAGGTTAAATCGGAAATTAATAACAAAATAAAAATGCATACAATAATATATTTATTACAAATATAGTTTTAAAAATAGATAAGCTCCGTTGAATATTCGATATAAAGCTGAAATTTCGATAAGTTTAAGAAAAAATACATTCACACATTACGCAGACACAAGATAATTTGTTTTGAATGCCAAATCTTATTGCGAAATGTTATCGATAATATATAGAGCTGCCTAAATATAATTATCGCAAAGAGTCCCATTCCTGCTTCCTCTCTCGCTAGAATTAGCTGAAAATTATTTGGCGGAGACAAAGTGCAGCCGCCACGTGCTTTTAATAAATTGCAATATACATATTTATATATAATAATAGGTGAAAAATATTAAACACCTAACAAAATTCTACGCAATTGAAACAGAAATGTGATATTATAGTATTGAAAGTATTGAAGATTGAATGACAAATCGAGTGATGCTGGCACGTGCCTTTAAAAAATTGTAAGTACATGCATGCATACATATAAACATACTTACATACATCTGCATACAGCTATAATAGGCAAAAAATGTCAAAAACCATACAAAATTCTATACAATTTAAAAAGAAATATCTTCTTATAGGGCATATAAATTATAATTCAAATCGAATGGTTTTAGTATATACATGTATAGTAAAAAAAAGTGAAATATATAAGAGAACAAACCTAGTTTTGCGCTATTTAGCAACAAAGCTGAAAATTGAAAGACGCCAGCGCGCACTCTTAATAAATTCTAAGTGCATACGTACATGCACACATACATACATGCATCTGTATACAGCTATAATAGGCGAAACATATCAAATACATAAAAATATATATACACACATACACACACACATACACTCACACACACACTTACACACACACTCACACACACATACACACACACGCATACATACACCCATACATACACACATATACATACACACACACACATACATATAAAGGAACAAATAAAATTCTGCGGGATTTAAAAAGAAATGTTATAAGGGCTGAAAATTAAAAGACAAGTCGAGTGAAATCAGCGCGTGCTCTTAATAAATTCTAAGTTTGTATGTACATACATATGTACATACATGCAAGCATGCATATATATAGTAACAATAGGTGAAAATTAAATACGAAATGCGATATTATATTGTTTCAACATAAAAATTATGAAAACTTACTTAATTAAGTCCGAGTGTAGTTTGGGGCCTGTTTATATTCACATGATACACACATACATAAGTGCTTGCATGCATACATACATACGTATACATGTACGTACCTACACACATTAACACATGCATACATACGTATTTACATACATACAAACATATGTACATGCATACATACCTAGTACATTCATACATACACTGTACATACCGATATACATACAAACATGCCTACATACAAACACACATATGTATATGCTAAGAACTTACATATACGCATACATTTGTACATGCATATATACTTACTTACGTACACACATACACACCTATGTATATGGACACATACATAGGTACCTACAGACCTCCATACATATGTTCATACATACCTACACACGCATATAAGTACTTACATATACACCTACACATGTATATGCACACCTACAGATATACCTATCTACCTACATACACACATGCATAGATACCTACATAGACAATATTGTTATTATAATAGGCGAACAAATGTAGGAAAACCTAACAAAATTCTATGCAATCAAAATAAATTTGTGATATAAAATTGAAAATTGTTCGATGGAAATTAAATATAATTAAAAGAGTATACACAAATCTGAGTGTAATTTGAGACTGTTTAATTTCGTATGCATAATTTAAAGATTTTTAAAGTCAACTAGATTCTAGTTAGCTAATTGGTATTTCTCTCCCAAAAACCTTAGTCTTTGGCACGAAGCGTATTGAGTAGCGTGGTAAAGGAGCCGGCTGTGCGAAAGATCTACAAGATGAGGAGCGCCTAGTCATTGCTATATTCAATTACTACGGTTATGGTAACTCACCCACACCAACAGAGGTCTGCCCAGCATGAAGAAGTAGGCGGCCAGTTTGGTCTCCTTCTGGGCACGCTGCAGCGGCAGCAGCAGGAGCCGACGCTGATGCGGCGACCACTCGTGCCAAGGCAGCAGCTGGTAGAGCTGATAGGCGAACTGCTGGCCCTCTTGACGCACCTGCTCAGCGCCGAAGCCATAAATACATAGCTGCGAGCTGACCACCAGCGAGAAGAAGCCGAGAAAGGCGATGTTCTGATTCGTGTGCGGCATTATGTACTGGCAGATCACCGAGCAGTAGAGCACACAGATCAGCAGCACCTCCACACAGGCAATGTCCCGGAGGCCCGTCTCAAATCGAGCCACCAACTCCAGCAGTCGAGCATGTTCCCTGAACAGCTGATCCAGCCTATGATCCAGGTCTCTCCCAGCTGACGACTGCATACGTTCGCTCTGCAGCTCCAGTTCGAGGCGGCGATAATGGGCCGTCAGACCGAAGACGAACCAGCCATAGAGCGTGTCCACGGCCGTGGTGGAGCAGCAGAAGAATGTCAGCACCGGCACCATCAGACAGCAGTCAAGGAAATAAATTACAGGATTTGTGACGTCGTAGGGTAAGCTGCAAGGGAAAATAAGAGATAAATACGAGCAATGTCTGTATAATGTAATATGTCGAAAGTTACTATCAGCATTTTGTTTCTATTTATATATTTTAAGTACCATTTATTTATATTAAGTAAGCAACGAAGGAAGGCACAGAGGATAACAAATTAAAGATGAGTGCATATGAGTTTTAATCAAGGCGAAATTAAATGCTATTTTAGCCAAGTCAGCTCAGCTGCATGATTGGCTAAAGCTTTGCTAGTCGAATTATCAACTGTAAAGATAAATGGGTCCCTAACTATTAATTTTTTGGTAGGTACCTAAATATTTGAGTCGAGAGATCTGTTTGCAGTTTGGCTAGGGGTTTAAGTATTATAGGCGAAAGCTTTGCTAGTTGAATTATCAACTGTAAAGATAAATGGGTCCCTAACTATTTATTTTTTGGTAGGTACCTAAATATTTGAGTCGAGAGATCGGTTTGCAGTTTGGTTAGGTGTTTAAGTATTATAGGCGACAGATCTGCTAGGTAGGTCCCTAAATATTACAATCATGAATTTAGTTAGCAGTAGCAAGGCGCTTAAGCATTACAGCGAAAAGTTCTGCTAACTTCATAAAAAAAAAACAGATCACATGCGAAAGTTCTGCTAAAAACTTGGTAGGGTACTAACTATTTCAGTAAAGTTCTTGAGTCGAGAGATCTGTTTGCAGTTTGGTTAGGTGTTTAAGTATTATAGGCGAAAGATCTGCTAGTCGAAATATCAACTGCAAAGATAAATGGGTCCCTAACTATTAATTTTGTGATAGGTACCTAAATATTTGAGTCGAGAGATCGGTTTGCAGTTTGGTTAGGTGTTTAAGTATTATAGACGAAAGATCTGCTGGTAGGTCCCTAAATATTACAATCACGAACTTAGTTAGCAGTAGCAAGGCGCTTAAGCATTACAGCCAAAAATTCTGCTAACTTCTTAAAAAAAAAAAAAAAAAAAAACCAGATCACATGCGAAAGTTCTGCTAAAAACTTGGTAGGGTACTAACTATTTCAGTAAAGTTCTTGAGTCGAGAGATCTGTTTGCAGTTTGGCTGGGGGCTTAAGTATTATAGGCGAAAGCTTTAGTAGTCGAAATATCAACTGTAAAGATAAATGGGTCCCTAACTATTAATTTTTTTGTAGGTCCCTAAATATTTGAGAAATCAGTTTGTAGTTTGGTTGGGTGCCTATGTATTACCAGTAACTTTTCGGCAGATCGCTTTAAAGCCCAAATATCAGGTCCCTGAATATTACAATCACGAATTTAGTTAGCAGTAGCAAGGCACTCAAGCATTACAGCTAAAAGTTCTACTAACTTCTTAAAAAAAAAAAAAAAAAAAGATCACATGCTAAAAACTTGGTAGGGTACTAACTATTTCAGTAAAGTTCTTGAGTCGAGAGATCTGTTTGCAGTTTGGCTAGGTGCTTAAGTATTACCAGTAACATTTCGGCAGATGACTTTTAGAAAAGCTAGGTATCAGAGTCGAAATCTCACCTGCAAGGATAGGTTGACCGCAAACTATTTCGGCAGAGTTCTTTAGATCCCTCAATATTTGAGTGGAGAGATCTGTTTGCAGTTTGGCTGGGGGTTTAAGTATTATAGGCGAAAGCTTTGCTAGTCGAAATATCAACTGTAAAGATAAATAAGTAGGTACCTAAATATTTGAGTCGAGAGATCTGTTTGCAGTTTGGCTAGGGGTTTAAGTATTATAGACGAAAGATCTGCTGGTAGGTCCCAAAATATTACAATCACGAATTTAGTTAGCAGTAGCAAGGCGCTTAAGCATTACAGCCAAAAGTTCTGCTAACTTCTTAAAAAAAAAAAAAAAAAACCAGATCACATGCGAAAGTTCTCCTAAAAACTTGGTAGGGTACTAACTATTTCAGTAAAGTTCTTGAGTCGAGAGATCTGTTTGCAGTTTGGCTGGGGGTTTAAGTATTATAGGCGAAAGCTTTGCTAGTCGACATATCAACTGTAAAGATAAGTGGGTCCCTAACTATTAATTTTTTGGTAGGTACCTAAATATTTGAGTCGAGAGTTCAGTTTGCAGTTTGGCTGAGTGCCTAAGTATTACCAGTAACATTTCGGCAGATGACTTTTAGAAAAGCTAGGTATCAGAGTCGAAATCTCACCTGCAAGGATAGGTTGACCGCAAACTATTTCGGCAGAGTTCTTTAGATCCCTAAATATTTGAGTGGAGAGATCTGTTTGCAGTTTGGCTGGGGGTTTAAGTATTATAGGCGAAAGCTTTGCTAGTCGAAATATCAACTGTAAAGATAAATAAGTAGGTACCTAAATATTTGAGTCGAGAGATCTGTTTGCAGTTTGGCTAGGGGTTTAAGTATTATAGGCGAAAGATCTGCGGGAGGTCCCTAAATATTACAATCACGAATTCAGTAAGCAGTAGCAAGGCGCTCAAGCATTACAGCTAAAAGTTCTGCTAACTAAAAAAAAAAAAAAAAAAACACACTGCATGCGAAAATTCTGTTAAAAGGTAAGGTAGGATACTAACAACTATTTCGGTAAAGTTCTTTATGTAGGTCCCTAAATATTTGAGTCGAGACCTCAGTTTGCAGTTTGGCTAGGTGCTTAAGTATTACCAGTAACGTTTCGGCAGATGACTTAGAAAAGCTAGGTATCACAGTCGAAATCTCAGCTGCAAGGATAGGTTGACCGCAAACTATTTCGGCAGAGTTCCTTAGATCCCTAAATATTTGAGTCGAGAGATCTGTTTGCAGTTTGGCTGGGGGTTTAAGTATTATAGGCGAAAGCTTTGCTAGTCGAAATATCAACTGTAAAGATAAATGGGTCCCTAACTATTTATTTTTTTTAATTTTTGGTAGGTCCCTCATTAGGAGAGTCGAGGCTTCTGTTTGCAGTCTTGTTAGGTGCTTAAGTATTACAGGCGAAAGATCGGCTGAGTGTCGAAATCTCAGCTGCAAAGATAGTTAGGTCTCTAACAGTTTTGCCAAAATTCTCGAGGTCAGTGGATATTTGAGTCTAGACTTTCGTTTGCAGTTTGGTTAGGTGCCTAAGTATTATAGGCGAAAGCTTTGCTAGTCGAAATATGAGCTGTAAAGATAAGTGGGTCCCAAAATATTTATTTGATTAATTTTTTGGTGGGTCCCTAAATATTTGAGTCGAGAGTTCAGTTTGCAGTTTGGCTGAGTGCCTAAGTATTACCAGTAACATTTCGGCAGATCGCTTTAAAACCCGAATATCATAGTCGATATTTCAGCCGCAAAGTGTATCCCGACAATATTTTAAAAGTTCTTTTAGTAGGTCCCTAAATACCAGAGTCGACGGTTTTTTTCTGATAAATGGTTAGGTAGGTCCATAAATACTACAGAAATCTGCTAGCAGCTTGAGTAGTCAATTGGTACTTTAGCCCTATGACATCTCCATCTTCAAAATCTGCTCACCAAAAAATTTATTAAACCTCCTTTACATTTGTTATCCTTTAGAGCCTTTGCTTCCCTTTGATTATGTTACATATGCTTAAATCAAAAGAAATGTAAATAATTTCGGTTTAAATTCAGTCGTATATAACATAGCAATAAGCAAATCTGTCAATATCTAATAATAATATTAAAGAATAAGAATAAATTGTTGGTGACAAGGGGACGAAGCTAATTTTTTCCTAGATACCTATAGAGAGCTGTAGAGGTCGAAGTATGGCAAAGACTACTTTGCTGCCAGTGTGTGAAGTGCATAAAAGCTAATTGCCACTTACGCGACCCGGAACGAGCTGACGGGCACAAATTGTCCGGATTTGTAGTAAATCAGAGCCGTTGATGCGACGGGCATGACCAGGAAGGAGATGCTGGTGCCAGCACACATCAGCAGGTAGATGGCCGAGAAGATTTGGCCGCGACGGTTCTGCACGCGCCAGACTCGCAGCTCGGCTGCCTCGATGTTTGCTCGCAGAAAAGGCGCCTGGATGGCGGCGATCAGAGACACCAGCTCCCGGCCCTTGCACACAAAGATGATCATCTTCAGCAGCGAGGAGACCATCTGGATGCCATGCATCAGCGCCTCGGAGCAGAGCACTATGTCGTGCCGCTGCTGCACGATGAAACCGCAGACGGTGCACAGCTCGAAGCTGGTGGCCAGCATCATGACGAGGTAAGTGACTGGGGAGCGGAGCGTCCTCCGGTCCTGCCGCAGGTCCAGGCCCATCAGGCCAAAGGTGAAGCGCTGCACCCACAAATTACTCAGACACGCCTCCAGCAGCTTGGACATGCTGATGCCAACTGAGCCAATGCCAGCTGAAACTGATAAGGCTTTGTCGTCCAACCGCCGCTGCCCAGGTCGATTTTTGTGTGCATCTCATTTATGAAGCGTGAGTGTGGGAGTGTGGGACAGTGGAAGAAATCGCTTAACCAGACTCGACTAATTGACCTTATAAATAAAACGTTAATTTGTCGGTCTTCATTAAAACACACACACCGCGCAGAAAACGTGGCTAAGTAAAACTTCATGGTGAATGATTTAATTATGCGCCCCGGGCGCGGGTCCGAGTCCACACCTACTGCAAGACAGGCAGGCACCTGTTTGGCACACTGGCACAAAGTCAGCAATAACTATATGAAATAGAAATGCGCGATGATCAAGCTAACTTAGTGTTTCACAAATATTATAAGTCTGAAAGATTTATGTTTTACTAATATTTATCAATTCAACAAATATGATTTGGAAATAAAAATCATAATGATAATAGGTCTATCAAATATTTCCGAAAGATATAATATTATTTAGTTTCCATTTCATATTTCTATCCATCAGGGAACTATTATTTGTATTTACAATTTTAGTGACTACTCGATATAGTCAACACAAAAGTAATCACCATTATAAATAATAAATATAATAATGTCAATACAAATTATATTCTACATAATTAATTCATAAGTAAAACAAAAATTTGTTTAAACGGAACTGCATTGACCTTTTAAGCTAATCGATCCGTATGCCACAAGTGGCACGTGCAGGGCTGCTTTGGGCCGTTGAGTTTAAGGTAAGCTCAGGTAAATAGGAATAAATAATGTTTTGAATGTACTATATAAATTTCTGGCACTTTTATACCTTTAAGACATTTAAATTGAGTATGACATTGTGCCTGGGCTTTACTGAGTCAGCTAAACAGTTTTCTGTATTAATCACAGCTCGATGTTGTTGATATATCTTATCAGTAAATATGCTACTACTACTAATACTACTCTCTCTGTCTGTCTCTCTCTCTCTCTCTCCCTCTCTCTCTGTCTGTCTCTCTCTCTCTGTCTCTCTCTCTCTCTCTCTCTCTCTCTCTCTGTCTCTCTCTCTCTCTCTTTCTCTGCACATCATAATACTGGTGGGTGATGCTCAGAGGTGAGAGCAGGATTAGATGACAGAACAGAAGATTTATGCTGCTTTCTGACGAGTGACCTATAGAATTGTTTTGTGTATTGATGATAATCATAAATTCCAACTCAACAAATATGATTAAAATGTTTATAAAACAAACTTGGCATTTTACTAATTTTTTTTTTTTTTTTAGTTAACAAATATTGCAATTCAGTCAAGATGTCAATGGACTCTACAGAAAAAATGTTCTACCTCAATAGTTCGTACTGCATTATGGGCTTATACAGCTCTAGTTAGTGACTTGGCAAATCAAATATTTGAGCTTAATTTGAATTTATAAGCCTAAGGAAGTATTCAAGCGAATCGTTCTCTAAATTAATTTTATAACAATTTTGCTTTTCATTTCCAAACATATTTATTTTTATTCAACAACTTTTTTGATTTTTTTTCTTTTCCAGTTTTGCCTGACACCACTGTGAACTGTTACTGTTACCAGATTCGTCAGTCGGCCAGCCAGCTCGCAGCAGCTTGTCGAAAAGTAACTGCAACTGTAACTACAACTGTAACTGGAGCTGGAACTGCGAATGCTACTGCCTCAGTCATGGTCATTGTCCGCTAGCGGTTCTTATTACATGTGGGCCTGCTATTTATTTATTTATTTTTTATTTTTTTGCTGTCTTTTATCTATCTATCGACAGCCACTGAATTCCCGGCTTGGCATATGTTTTGACATTTGGAGGCTGGCACTTAATTTACGGCCTCACCTTTTTCTGTACACACACACACACACACACGCACGCACACACATTCATGCTGTGAATGTAGCTGCGAGTGTCAGGCCCAGGCCCAGACCCAGACCCAGACTCAGACTCAGACTCGGAAAGGTGTGAGGCAGGAGGGGTATCTATTTACTCTAGTTGCGTACTAGGCGCGTATTTATAGATCTCGATCGGTCGGCTTTCCCGTCAGCCTCGCATTTGGGTGTGCACATGCGATCAGTGTGTGGCTCTGCGATTTTAATTAACCAACGGCCAGCTGGAAACTAATTAAAAGTCTTGCTACGCTCACAATGTGCTACATTGAAAATTCAATTATCCGCAATGCCGCCCATGTTTTGTCGTGGGAAAACGTCAAACTCGTTCCGCTGCCCATTCAAATGAGGCCAAAACCCAAAAAAAGAAAAAAAAAGTCAGTGCTGCGTATTCAATAAATGTGCAGTAATATTTCAATATCGCGCATACGACGCGTGTACGCCCTTTGTGTGTAATTCGATCGAGAGATCTACAATGTAATTAGCTCGGCAATTAATGAACTGGGCGTGCACCCGATAAACAGATCAACAATCAATCGGGCTTCTCATCATCATTAGCCTGGCACGAGAGAACAAACTTCCGTTTGACTAATGGTCGGTCAGCCAGCAACTAGTTGTCATTGTGCCTGCTCATATTGTATATACTTATTGTTGGCCAAATCGGCTATTGATTGCCGGCTCTTAAGTCAGTTAAGTTTTTTTTTTTTTTTTTTTTTTGTGGCAGCGTTCGATTTGTAGCAATTTGTTGCAACCAATTTGAGTCGATTTCGCTAACAATTTCTGTGGTATCACTTGCATTTATTGTTGTTGTTGTTGTTGTTGTCATTTTATTGTCAAATCAATGCTACTCGTGCACGAGCCGAGCGATGAATCAGACGCGAACAGTTTAAGAACTCAGCTCGCGCTGCTTGCCTACAAAACTTAATTGCGTTTAATTAATTGTTGTCAACTCACATCTGTTCGAGCGCATACCCTACTCCATATATGGATATCAGATAAGTTGATATATATGTGAGACTGAGGCTGATCTACTCTGTAGATGTAGGTTTAGAGATTTGCTCAGCTCTCAGCTGCAATTTGGCTGCCTGAAGCGTATTGCCAAGTCGGAACTGCCTCGCGCCACGATTCTAACTTGATTTGTCTAGCCTTTAGTTTTTTTTGGCAGCTCTTGAAAAGCGTTTTGCATGTTGCCTTGTGGCGAGCATTTGTCAACGCGCCTGGCTCAGCAACAAGCAGCAAATTTGTTGTGGCTTAGGGTTGTCCGCAGCGCTGTCTGTCTGTCTGTCTGTCTGTCTGTCTGTCTCACTGTCTGCCTGTTTGGCAACAACTCCACAGAACGCGCTGGTCGAACACCCACACGGCAGTCAGCTGCATGAAAATTCGCGCTGTTGGCTAATAAACTTCAACAGCCAAACTTCAGCTGTTGTGGGGCCAAGCGCCAACTGAAATTCAATCACAGACACACACAGAGAGAGAGAGAGAGAAAGAGAGAGAGAGAGATAGACAGACAGGGACAGAGACAGCGACAGCGACTCGGAGAACTGAGACTCTATAATAAGGCGCAGTTAGACAACAGGCAAGCACTTTAAGTGAGCCCCCCCAAAAAAGGTTTACATACTCCACACACACACACACACACACCCCTTTGATTTGGTTTTGGTTATTTGCCTTTCGTGCCGCTGAAAACTTTATTAATATCCAAATCGTGCGCTTAATTGAAATTTATTGTTAATGAAAACAAAATTATGGCAAACAACTACAGCCACTTGACACGAAAGAACCAAAGCAAACCAAAAACCAATTCGAACTCCAGTCCGCTACAAGCCGAGCCAAATACAATGACCCAGCACATGAAGACACAAACCAAACTAAATAGAGTTGAAAAGTGCAGATTTTGTCGCCCACATGCGGCAGTTGAGCAAATCGAATCAGAAACCAAAAAAGAAAAAAAAAAAAAAACTACAACTGAATCAGAAAACTCTGAAACTGAAACGGTGATTGAGGCTGGTGGAACACAGCCATGGGTATGGTATGGTTAGGGGTATGGACGGCATTTGAGTCACGGTCTCTGGCCAAGGGCCGCCAGTTAATGTTGGCTAAGCTGGCATTAATTTGGCATTTAAACGCTCATTAAGGCGACAGACCCGACAATCATGAGTGACAGAATCTGTGGGTGGATATCTAACTGGACACACACACACACACACACATGGGCTGGACTGGCTGTCTCGTTTATCTACTTGCTGCACTCAGTGTACAGCGAACGTGTCGACAGCCAATTGCATTTAACTACAACAAGTTTGTTCTTTTGTGTGCATGCAATGGAGTCTCTACTGTACATTTGGCTAATTATTTTAGTTATTAGCGCCATTTACATTGGGCGACCATATCATTTATTTTGCGCATATCTTAAGTGTGCCACATCATTAGCTGCCTCGCAGTGCCAATATTTCCAGTCTTTGGCCAGGAATCTTACGAAACGACCAGCTCGAGCCGAATCAAAATTCATCGAGTTCTTGACTTTCAATATGCTGCCAAAAGTAATTCATTACATTCCAAGGCCACACTGAAAACTTGCTTGTTTATCAATTATCAATTACCATATGCTTATAAGAACATGTTAGGTTACATCAATATTGTTACAGTTTTATACAGTCGACTCTTGTTATTTCAAACCTGCGTTATTTCGAACCTCTATTTGAATTTCGAAATAACAAGAGTCGACTGTACATACTTATATTGTTATAGTCTCTGCAATGTGATATTAGTATTTCAGCATTTTCAAATGAAAGCACAAGTTTTATTCGAGATTTTTTTTACTTGTATCAATATTGTTGTACTTTATTTCAATATCTACTGAGCACCTTGAAGATTTTTTTTTATATTTTCCATAATACTGCATAAGTTAAATTCATCTCTTACTTCTGACTAGCAGGGGTCTGGGTATATTCCTATAAGTCGAGCATTCCCGACTTAAGCATTCTCACATTCTCATTTCATTTCCTACTTCTCTTAGCTTACTCGTCTCTTACTATATATGTATATATTCTTATTTGTTATACCTCTCATCAGCCAGTAATTATACAAG